TCATTTCCTCACAAATATTTTGTGTTTATATAGCACACAAAGCCTTCTAAAATTTGTTTAGCCTCAGTTAACAATACTCAGTGCTTTAATGTAGGGGGAAAAACTTAGTTGAGCTGTTGAGTAATATAGAGACAACAAATATCAGGAACAGAAGAATACATCTGGGGTTCTTATGACCCACATGTTGCAACCAGCTGTCCAAAGAGAGGAAAACAAAGCTAAACATCCAGAATAGAAGAAAAGGAAGCACTGCTTTCTTTAATCAGGGCAGTGATTGTGCAATCTTAAATCAATTAATGCTACAACTTGTTGACATTTCACATCTGGCAGTTTCTGAAATGATTTTTTTCACAAGTGTAAATCTAATTTTTCTTGATGTTTGGGGAATGATTGAACTGGGTTTTTTTTAAAGAGTGGAGAAAAGCAAAAAAAAAAGGGGGTTTTGTGACCCACTTGAAAATTATTGTCTTCCTTTCATTGTAAAATGTATTATCCAGTTATTCATCATGAATGATTAATGTTTCATTTTTCATGAAACATTTTTTTGTAGTTAAATTTGAAAACATTTCTAAAATCTACTACCATGGCAAAGAAAGTTCTTATGTTTGAAGATTTTTCCAAACTAGCTCTTCCTATGAAGTCTGACTGCTAGATCTTTCTGTGGCTGAATAACATCTTTTTCAGATCTTGTGTGCTTCCCCAACCAAGGTCACCTCCAGGCATTCAGACTTTGAGCCCAGAATCTGATTCAAGAACTCAGGATGCTGAAGTCAACACATCTTCTGACTCGACATTTTTGAACCACCTCTCTGTGGGAGCTCCTGCTGCCAAGGCCATGGCATGGTCCCATCTCTCCACTGATCGATTGACTTCCCTTTCTTTTATTTCCCTCAAGCCTGGCCAAGCCCGATTCATTTTTGTGGTCCCTCGTCCATTCATAATGCATGGCCCAAATCCATAAATGTCTGGTTGCTTTAAGGGAGCAGTCAGTCTTTACTTCACAAATGATTGTCTACATTTCTGAATAATCAGTAGGGTAGAATATGTAATTTGTTTGTAATTCAGTTTTGCCAATCTTAAGTTAAGTAGGCTCAGGATCTAGTTTGGATCAAAGGTCTCTTGGGAGTCTAAGGACTGGAGGTTAGGCTGAGAAGTCAGAAGGACATTCTGAAAGAAAAAGATGGCCAACCTCTTCTAAACAGTGGTTGAGAAAATTCTGTGGACACTAGCCAGGGCATAATTGGGAATCAAGCCTGACTTGAAGGAGGCTTCACTTAAGAATTTTTTTTATTCTCTGATGGTACTTTTATATTGTACTGGTATGTTTTTGAAGAATAGGATGGAAACACCCATTGGTACTAGTAAGACACACATTTAGAATCTTAGAATCAGAATAGAGCTGGAAGGCACCTTGGAGGTCATCTAGTCCAGCCCCCTGCTCAAGCAGGAATCCCTATATCATTTCAGACAAGTGGCTGTCCAGTCTCTTCTTAAAAACCTCGAGTGATGAAGCACCCACAATGTCTGAGGCAAGCTGTCCCAAGCTGTTAGGAAATTTATCCTTAGTTCTAGGATGCTTCTCTCCTTGACTAGTTTCCATCCATTGGTTCTTGTCTTGCCTTCTGGTGCTTTGGAAAATAATTTCCCCCCCTCATCTTTGTGCCAGCCCCTCAAATACTGGAACACTGCTATCATATCTTCCCTAGTCCTTCTTTTCACTAGACTAGACATACCCAATTCTTGCAACTGTTCTTCATAATCCTAATTATCCGCATCCTAATCATCTTTGTTGCTCTTCTCTGTACTCTTTCCAGAATCTCAACATCTTTTTATATTGTGACCAAAACTACATGCAGTATTTCAAGTGTGGCCATACTAAGGCTTTGTAAAGCAGTGCTAATATTTGATTGCATTGGCTTTTTTGGCTGTTGCCACACACTATTGGCTGATATTTAAGTGATTGCCCATTTGGAGTCCAAGATCCCTCTCACAGTTGCTGGCATTGCACCAAGTTTGATCTAGTCTGTAGCTATATAGTTGTTTTTTTCTTGCCTAAATATAGAACCTTACTTTTATCTACACTGAATTTCATTTTGTTAGATAGGCCCAATGTTCAAGTCTGTTGAGATGCTTTTGGATTTTGAGCCTTATCTGCCCAGGAACAGAAAATTTATCTGCTGAGGAGCAGAGAATTTATTTCACTTACTGGTTTCAAATTAAGGCCTTGAGGATTCTTCATTTCTCAAAGTTAAATATTAATCCTGTGTTGTCTGAACTGAGTATCAAATAATAATCTTCAGAAGGAACTTGTACTGTTTCAAGCAATTACAGTGTTAAAATTGATTATATTTAACCAGATGAGAATCTCGCCATGGTTTGAAACCACCATAATGTCATTTCATATCATATTTGTGAAATTGTTCAATAAAAATGTCAAATAAAAAAATGACATCCCCCAAGGGCAGACATGGACCATATCCAATATAAATGTATAGCCAAGGAATCTCAACCAAAGAAGGTAAAATAAAACTCATTCCAAATAGAAAGCAAAAAGAAAGAAACTGTAGTGAGTAATAAATTAACCTCATCTCCACAAATTTAAATGAAAATGACATTTCTGTTTTTTCTTGTTATAAAGATTATCATTCTGAAGTTGCCTTTGCAACATTACTATACACAGTCCCTAGCAGAAAATTTATATTGCAGAGTATTATTTTACTGAGGCAATGCTTCACAAAAGAATGGGTAAAATGTTGGATAATCCAAACCTGCCAAAATATTTGCAGTTTTTACTTATAATATTCCTGGTGTGGTTTGTTTTTGTTTTTTTTTAAAAAAAACAATATTAATTTTTACAACAAGCAGAAACAGCGCAGAAAAGATGAAAAAGGATGCACATTTCTATTTTACTGGTCTTTTTAAAGAATGAGACAGATCTACCACATAGAGAAATCTAAATACGTAAAAAAAAAATTAAAAAATGCTTAAAAAGGAACTTTCTCATTAAAATCTTCTCCTCATGTAAGATTTTATAGCAGGCTAATTTTTAAGTTGATAATTTTGTATGGCCTGCGAATGATGTCCTAAATATCCAAATGGCCCTTGGTGGGGAAAAAACAACAACGACCTAAAGCGTTGTTTCACCTAAAGATTCTTCAGACCCTCCCTGAACTGAGCCACAAGGGCTATTTCATTCCAACCCAAATCTGCTGCAATTAATTTGAATTCCTCTATATCAGGGGTTTTCAAACTTGGCCCTTTTATGACTTGTGGACTTCAACTCCCAGAATTCCTCAGCCAGCGTGCCTGGCTGAGGAATTCTGCGAGTTGAAGTCCACAAGTCATAAAGGGGCCAAGTCTGAAGACCCCTGCTCTATGTACTGCCAGACACCTCTATTGCTTTGTCGAAGTTCCTGAATCCGGCATGTTCCTGTAACTTCCTTTGGTGTTCTTTGAAGTTTGCCATGAAGTTCTGATAGTTATCCATATGAGAGTCATGGCATCCGATTATGAGACGTTCCCGTCTTGCCGCTGAGGCTGTCAGGAGACTGAGTACAAAGGAGAGTCATGATTGGTTGGTTAGGAATTCTGCTAGGTGGCATTGAGCAATGAAGGTTTTCATTTTTTTCTGACTCTCCTCCAAACCTTTTGGGTAAAACAGCTGCGGGTTCTCTGCAGGAGAGGCATGGCTGCTGGACCTGGGGACATTCTGCATCTGCTGAACCAACTGGAGCACTGGAGCTGACATATTTCACACCTTGATTTCCAAGCTGCCTTGGCACTGGAGGAGCACATCCATTGCAGTATTGTCAGCTCTAGCCTGCAGATCCAATGCTGTACTGGTGGGTGTTTTTTTGCTTTTTTGTTTGTTTGTTTTCCAGTCTGGTGGAAGCTTATGAATGAGTTGACTAAATTAAAGTCAGGCACAAAGAATCAGGACCATTCGTAAAGAGTTGTGGCGGTGCAGTGGTTAGACTGCAGTACTGCAGGCTACTTCTGCTGACTGCCGCAGTTCAGCAGTTTGATTCTCACCGGCTCAAGGTTGACTCAGCCTTCCATCCTTCCAAGGTTGGTAAAATGAGGACCCAGATTGTTGGGGTAATATTCTGACTCTGTAAATCGCTTAGAGAGGGCTGTAAAGCACTGTGATGTGGTATATAAGTCTACGTGCTATTGCTAGTGAAGCATGTAAGATTTATTCAAGCCTATGCACAAGAATCTAGTCAACTAACTAAAATGGCACTAGAAAAGGGCTAACAGAATTCAAAGGGGGCTGGACTTGGATCTCTTGTGGCAATGCCTGGTCTCTAAACTGATGATGCATTTAATTCCACCCCCCTAGCACTCCCTGCTCTTCTCCTATAATCTCAGAGGAAAATTACTTTTTATTGCTTTGATTATCAGACATAATTTAATTCACACATGCACACAGATGTGTTTCAGTCAATCAAAATTTACTTAAGGTCCAAGACCAAATCCACTAAAAAGCTAGCATATAATACAGTAAAAAGAAATTTTAAACTGGCAAGAAAATCCTAAAGCATTTAGCAGTTAACAGTTAAATAGCATGTGAGAAAAACCAGAGAGTTTCTAACAGCTGTAGCCACTGATGGGAAACTTCTGCAACCTTCTCTGAGATTCCAGAGGGAGAGTAATAAGTTCTTGGCTGTAATGGCAATTAACAGTTGGTCAAAATGGTAATTAGAGGTTTTAACAATTGGAAGTATTAAATCTGAGCACATTGGATATATAATGAACATTTTAAGACCATGTGAGATACAGATTCTACCTCCAGATAGGTTGGATCATAGTTCCAGATCCACAGTTTAATCTGAACGACATCAGCCAGATACTTTAGTTTAAAGCCTGGAAAAAGATCATGATGATTGCCTTATCAGCGGAATTAGATAGTTTTGTGCTTCCTTGCAGGAATGAATACTATCTAACAGATAAGAAATTGTATCATATGACTATCAGGTTTCTGCACTATAATGACTTACCAAGACAATTGTGTCCATCTTCAGCCAACATGAAGCCATCATAACACATACACCTGTAGTTCCCAGGAATATTGATGCATTCATGTACACAGCCTCCATTGTAGAAGTCATTTTCACATTCATCAATGTCTGAAAATAAAGAAAAAAAGAAGGAAAAAACCCTAGTGCCAGGTATATCATACCAAGTTTAACAAAAATCACTGTTGATGAATATTGTACAATTAATGCTAAAATGCTTTTCTAATGTTTGTTTTACTCTGTATTTTGATATGGCCAATGGTCTAATCAACAACAATAAAGTCAATTAATGCTAAAATGCTATAATTTCATTTATAAGGATACATAACAATTCATTTAATCTAACCAGAAATGTCATTATTATGTGGGACATCAATAAATGCTTGTTTTGTATTCAAGATCCTATATATTTTGTAAAATTCCCAACTCTCATAGGGCTCTCGGTAGGGTACGCATGAGACCCGTAAAAAAGTAGATGAAGCTTTGATCACACCATTGTGGCTGCCATTTTGATTTTATTAACCATACCCAGTGGACACTCCTGCACCATTAGCTGTCAAGAACTTACTTGAAGCATCCTAGACATTCCCTACTAGTAAGGAATCTTTATTCTAAACCAAGGGTCTTCAAACTTGGCCCTTTTATGACTTGCGGACTTCAACTCCCAGAATTCCTCAGCCAGCATGCCTGACTGAGGAATTCTGGGAGTTGAAGTCCGCAAGTCATAAAAGGGCTATGTTTGAAGACCCCTGTTCTAAACTAATGATTGTCCTCCTGACAGATGAAGTTGCCTTCTCTTAATGCAACTTCTCAAACTTAAAACTTGCTCCCTTTCATCTACAGTATCCTTTCCATAACTTAATAAAAACTCTGTTCCACACTTCTCATGGTTAGTGCTAGGTGGAAGTTGGTTATGGACCGTGTTTATGTTCTTTCCCTGGGTGCCCCCAACATATCTCCCATAATTATTGTAATCATGGAGAAGTGGGATGGGCACACTTCACTACTGCCGTTCAGACTCCTGGTTTGTTGGTCTGTCCTTTTTGGAGGGAAAGGGAAATGTGTTTAAAGGAGATGGGCTACTGACATTCATTGTAGTAGGAATGTACTGTATTCAGAGCCAGAGTGGCTTGTGAAGTATATATCTTACAATCAGACATATATGTTGCAATAGAGTGTTTCTCCCCTTGAAGCAAAATAGCTGTGAATGGTTCTCTCATGCAGAGATAGCCAGAACAAATTTCAAGCTTATGGAAAACATGGCTGCTTTCATGGTTAAGAGAAATATGCCCCTTACATGCTCTCACACGTTGCAAGGCCCTTCTTTCAGAGGATTTCCACAGCTGTAATAAATGACACCGAGTCCTAAACATTTTCCCCAACCTCCTTGTGAAACTCATTCCCAACACAGACTCCTCTGTTTTCATCACAAAGTGAAAATCTGCAGTGAAAGGTTATAGAAAGCCTCCAAGTTTAATCCTGGGACTGCCCTATTTGGGGAGGGAAAAACTCTAGACTAAAATTGTGAGGAGTTGCGACCATTAGCATTAAACAAGGTGGACCGAGGTCCAATGTGCAATAAGGTAGCTTCCCATGCTCCTATTTCAGACATGCCCCCCCTTTTTAAATGAAATCATGGGGGGGGGAGTTCCAAGCACACACAAACAGCCAAACCCTAATGAATTCTTAACACTGCTACAATGTGTAGCTGTCATATGCTTGAAAAAGGGGGAAAGTATGTTTTATCATAGGTTGTAAGAGAGAGATGATTCGAGTTGTAAATTGGGCATGTCTGAAGGATCCTGGTCTCCTGCCTCTGCAGTAAATGATGCTTTTATGGTAACGGTCAAAATTATCCGCAAGAAAAATAATGAACAATCTTAAACTACAGTCTAGACGCTCCTATCCTGAACATTGCCTGATGACAGCCTTTCATCCAGCAAGAGCTGCATTTGGCTAGAATGTCTGTTTTTCTTTCATGCCATGCTCCTTTTACAATTGGATCTGGAACTAATTTGAGAAACATAAATTGCAATTGACTTTCATTAATTTATGTTCTTGAACCTCTGTAGAAATGCAGTCACCAGGAAGCCGTCTGCCTGCATAAATCTCAGCTATCCAATTCCAAAACGCTGCACTTGGGGAAATCAGGCAGCAGAGTTTGAGTACTGAAAAAGGCCTGAAATGTAATATTTTGATTGCTGATGTGTCGGTAGTTAGTTACGTGGAAATATTTCTTCGGCATCTGAAATGAACAGGTAGACTTGCACAACGTTGAAGAAACACAAATTGAAATAAATGATATGGCACCAAAGAAGCATAGAAGATGAAACTAATAGGCGGTGAATATTAACGGTCAGGTTCCCCTCCAAGGACCCGTCATTACCTTGTATATTCACTTCTTCCTGGGCTGCTGGGTTATGTCCCCAGCTGATCACCACTTCCTTTCAGTTGACCTAACAATGGCCCATGGAGACCACGAGGTCCAGTGCAAAGCCAACACAGTGCTAGGCTGCATTAACAGAGGGATAGAATCAAGATCACGCGAAGTATTAATACCACTCTACAATGCCTTGGTAAGGCCACACTTGGAACACTGCATCCAGTTTTGGTCACCACGATGTAAAAAAGATGTTGAGACTCTAGAAAGAGTACAGAGAAGAGCAACAAAGATGATTAGGGGACTGGAGG